CTAGTAGTTACACTTAAATTTTAACACATATTTTATTTTGCACTATCTGGAGCAAATCAGTATCACTTATGCCCCAAATGAGGCAAGAAATTAGCCCAATTTCCATTTCTCTAGGCACTGCCTCTGCCAACCTCCTATGTTGGTACCATCTGAGACAGTATACATATATATATTTCGAGACAGACTCTTACTTTGTCACCCTCAGTAGAGTGCAGTGGCATCACAGCTCACAGCAACCTCCAACTCTTGGGCTCAAATGATTCTCTTGCCTCAGCCTCCCAAGTAACTGGGACTGCAGGTGCCTGCCACAACCCCTGGCTATTTTTAGAGACGAAGTCTTGCTCTTGCTCAAGCTGATCTCAAACTCCTGAGCTCAGGCAGTTCACCAGCCTTGGCCTCCCAGAGTGCTAGGATTATAGGCATGAGACAATATGCCCGTCCCCAATAGTATACATATTTTTATAGAAATATGCAATTTTTTTTGAGACAGAGTCTCAAGTTGTCACCCTGGGTAGTGCCATGGCGTCACAGCTCACAGCAACTTCAAACTCTTGAGCTCAAGTGATTCTCTGACCTCATCCTCCCAAGTAGCTGGAACTACAGGTGCCCACCACAACACCCAGCTATTTTTTTGTTGCAGTTGTCATTGTTTTGCTGGCCCAGGCCAGGTTCAAACCCGCGAGCCTTGATGTTATGTGGCCAGCACCCTACCCACTGAGCTATGGGCACCGCCTGAAATATGCATGTTTTTAATTGAAAAAATCTTGTTGGTCATAACATACATTTTGGTGGCATTGGCACTCATCATTACTTCTTGTGTCATTCTCCTAGATTCATTTTTCATTGTCATGGAGTTAATTTCCCAGAAATATTTTCGGAGATGTTTGATGTACACTAAACTTTGAATTATTAAAAATGTCATTGAGTTAACACAAATGTCCTTCCTTTGCCCTTCTACTTGAATGGCATTTGGGGTAGTGTATCATTCAATGCTCAAATTTACTTTCTTCCAGAGTATTAGCAATATTGCTCCCCACTCTCTCCCTGCACCCAGTGCTGCTGCTGAGAAAGCTGGTCTCTATCTGAAACTTATTCCCTAGGAGGTAATTGGTTGATTTCTTTTTCCCTTTAAATATGTAAGGACTTTATCTTCATCAGTTATGACATTGCGCTGCGACCTGTGTGGAGCACCATCTGTTTTCCTCCGCTTTTTAAAGGCAAGTAGAGTCTCTTTAAACCTCACCAATGCTTTGAATGGTTCTGGCTCCATCTCTGTACTTCCTTTCTCAAGAATGTGCATTCAACCATGAATGAAACTTTTATTTCTTTAACCTTTTCATTTCTCTGCCCTTCTGTGCTGCAATCCAGGAGGATTCTTCACATCAAAGTTTCCAGGCAGTGCCCATAGCTCAGTGGCTAGGGCGCTGGCCACATACACCGAGGCTGGCAGGTTCAAACCCAGCCTGGGCCAGCTAAAACAACAATGACAACTGCAACAAAAAAAGTAGCTGGGCGTTGTGGCTGGCGCCTATAGTCCCAGCTACTTGGGAGGCTGAGGCAAGAGAATCTCTTAAGCCCAAGAGTTTGAGGTTGCTGTGAGCTGTGACTCTATGGCACGCTACCCAGGGTGACAGCTTGAGACTATCTCAAAAATAAAAAAATAAATAAGTTTCCATTCACTAATCTACACTTGGTATGTCCATTCTGCTATTCTTCTCATCTTTTGGGTTTGCTTTCCTCCAAAGCTTGAAAACTCTTATTTAAGTATTCATCTTTGTTTTTTATTTTCCTTTAGCCTACTGATGAGTGCCATATCCCTGGCTCTACAAATTGCATGGGAGATATGGGATAATACTTGGATAACATCTAGGGTGATTTATAATTCTGTGCTTTAAAAGATATTTCTTCAGAAAGTTGGGAGTGTGGCCCCACTCTCTCTTTGCACCTGTGTTGTTTCTAAGGAATCTGAAGTCCATCTGACTTACTCCTGGGTTGGTAAACAGTTGGTGTAAGGTCCTCCTGTGCCTTCCTTATCCTGCTGGATATGATACCCATCACTGGGGATGTTGTTGATTTCTGGATGTTGTTGATCATTGGGGATGGGTATCATATCCAACAGGATAAGGAGAGCACAGGAAGTCAGAACCTGTGCACAATGAGGGGGGTGTCCTGACCTTTTGTGTCAGCTCAGGTTGGATGAAGGAGGCATTTACAGGGATCAGCAGACCATTGGTGGAAGCTAGACCCAGAGCCACATGAAGAGACCAGTAGCCTGGTGTGTGGCATGTCAGAGCTCAAGCAGAGCAGGGGCAGTGCCTGCAAAGGGGAGAGGCCACCGTTGGCCCTGGAAGATTACTTGCATACAAGGAAGAACAAATGAGAAAATTTATTAAGGATAATGGGAGCCAGGAGTGACATTCTCAGAAATAGAAATATGGAAAGGAAAAAACAAGAAAGAACTCTCCAGCTCGGCGCCTATGGCTCAAGAGGCTAAGGTGCCAGCCCATATCCTGAGCTGGCAGGTTCAAATCCAACCCAGGCTCGCCAAACAACAACAATGGCTGCAACCATAAAATAGCCAGGCGTTGTGGCAGGTACCTGGTAGTCCCAGCTACTTGGGAGATAGAGGCAGGAGAATTGCTTGATCTCAGGAGTTGGAGGTTGCTGTGAGCTGTGATGCCATAGCACTCTACCCAGGGAACAGCTTGAGACTCTGTCTCAAAAAAGAAAAAAAAGAAAGAACTCTCCAATTTGGGGTTGGGATTGGAGGTATCCTTGTGAACTCACAGATGTCAATATAGGTACAGAAATAAACAGATATGTGTATTGCTTGTGCATGTACACAAACAGGTGCTCCTTAGGGTGGAGGGGGAGCATTGAGGGGGCTGGGGAACAGGGGCACCTTGGTAACAATGAGCACATCTTCTGTGCTCTTCTGGGCCTTCCCAGTTGGCCTCAGAATTTGCTTTCTTCGTGGCCCCTGGCATTTAAGGTTTATGGATGTGACCTCTTTCTTGTTTTGTTGCTGATTTTTTTTTTTTTAAGAACTCTTGAGGTACAATTGACAAGTTAAATTTGTATATATTAGGGCCAGGAAGAGTGACTCGCACCTGAATCATAACACTCTGGGAGGCTGAGGTGGGTGGATTACTTGAACTCAGGAGTTTGAGACCACCCTGAGCAAGAGCAAGACATCCCAGCTGGGTGGCGCCTGTTGCTCAGTGGGTAGGGCGCTGACCCCATATACCGAGGGTGGCGGGTTCAAACCCAGCCCCAGGCCAAACTGCAACAAAAAAATAGCCGGGCATTGTGGCGGGCACCTGTAGTCCCAGGTACTCAGGAGGCTGAGGCAAGAAAATCGCCTAAGTCCAGGAGTTGGAGGTTGCTGTGAGCAATATGATGCCACAGCACTCTACCAAGGGTGATAAAGAGAGACTCTGTCTCTACAGAAAAAAAAAAAAAGACATCCCAGCTACTCGGGAGGCTGAGGCAAGAGGATTGCTCAAGCCCAAGAGTTTGAGGCTGCTGTGAGCTATGATGCCACAGCACTCCACCCAAGGTGACAAAGTGAGACTCTGTCTCAAAAAATAAATTAAATAAAGTTGTATATATTTAAGGTGTAGAACTTGACATTTTGAAGATGCTGGATTTTTATGGTACCTGACATTCATCCTGAACAGTGGAGATCATTAGCCCAAGTTCACAGCTCAGGATACTGGCCGAGTTCATAGAGGGAAAATGACTTGTCCATGGCCACACAGCAGTGAGAAGCAGAACCAGAAATGTGACCCAGGACAGAGCTCTTTGCTATGAGACACTGAACAAAAGACAAAGGGAGGCAAGGAGAAAGAAATACTTCTGTATGGATGTGAGAGAGCCAGGTCTTGAGTGAGACCCTGGGGCAGAACATGGCAGGGCAGAACATGGCAGTACAGAGCCTACACCCAAGAGCAAGACAGAGAGTCACAGCCTGAGACATCTCGGCAGCATCTCCAAACCTCTGTGAGTCAAGGGAGCAGCTCACCACGGCAGAGCCAATGAGCATGGCTGGACATAAGGCTTTGAGCTTGCTGCCTTGGTGGAGAATGACCCAGACCCCCATACTCCTCCCTTTCTTCTGGGAACCACAGGAAAGCAGTGTCCAGACAGATTCATACCTTGACCTCTAAACTGGACTTTGATCATCACCTGGGCCCCAATCCCAACCCCAAGTGGCAGCATTTCATAAGAAGGGATATTCAGAGGAGCCAGCCCTGCCTGGACCAGCCTCTGCAGAGGATGGGCCTGGGGAGAGAGTAGGGAGAAAAGGCTAATGCCTCCTCAGCTCCTGTGTCAGTAATAGCATGGGGCCTGACCCTCACCAGAGGGTTGGGCTGGCAGTGGAATGCTTTGCCTCCCTCCCTCTTACCTATAGAGCTGCCCATACCGGGCTGGTCTGGAGAATGAATCCTCGCTTCCATGTGGAGCTCAAGGGAAAGGGATAGACGGTGTTTATGGTGAGAATGAGAACTTGGATTGTGTTCTCTCACAGCTTCCATTTAGGGTCTCAAGAAGCTGAGTATGAGGATACAGTCCTCAGTTAAGCAAGGACATGGGATCCATGGGGGTTGGGGTGGGTGGGCTCATCTCAGTCTTGGGATTGGCAGAACAATCCCTGAGCAACCAAATCCAGATGGATGGATTCCTGGAGAATGTGCTGCCATTGCCTTGACCACCCTCCCAAAGGCTTCCAGTATACAGTCTTGGAGAGAGTGCACCATTTACATAGACCAAACATAATGATGTTCCTTAGAGTTGACCAACTGGCAAATTTGTTCCCCCAGCTTTCCTACCTATGGCAGACATTGCTAATCAATCACAGTCTCTGCTCAGTCTGAACAAAGGGCTCAGAATCCTTTACCACAGAGCGCCTCAGGCCAATTCATTAGAGTTGGTATATGAGATGCCTGTATTTGCCATCATTGTCCTGACCTCCTGAAGTTTGTTAAACAGAATGTCCAGAAAAGACCACTTCACTCCTTTATTGGGAGGGGAATACATTCTGTTACAATGCAAGGCCCTGAGCCCAGCAAGATCTCCAGTTCGAGATGTAGTTGATTGGCAGTGACTCTGTACTGGCCCTTGATGAGACCCCGGGCAGCACAGGAGTGGCACCTCCAGTAGGCCTGGATGATGCGGGTAGCATTGAGCACCTGGCAATAGCGCCGACGGATGAACCACATGCGGGCCCAGGACTGCAGAGTAACTGCTGCCCTCTCCTCCCGGGAAAAGGACTCCAGAGCCACCCGCCGCCTCTTCTCCAGAAGCTTCGACAGTATCAACCGCCACCAGCACTGAATGATCCAGGCCCTGAGGGCTGCGTGCAGTAGCACCCGCCGTACCAGTGTGCCCCGCCACCAGGCCTGGATCCTTATGACTGCCATATCTTTGTCAGATAACTTCTTTGGGTATTCTGGAGGCTTTCAAGAAAAACAAAAGACATTCAGAGAACACTCCCCACCCTACTTCAGTTCTAGGGTGTTCCAGGAAAGGCCCTGATTCCTATGAACTATTACCCCTCCTGAAATTCAGGAGCACTGAGCATGGTGACAGCTGGACCCAGGAGACCAGGCAAGTGTCCTACCTCTGCCACCTGCAGGTTAATGGACATGGACACTTTAACTTGACCTCTGAGTCTCACTGACTCCATCTGCAGAATGGGGGTATACCTGTCCTAGCTCCCTCACCTGGTTTTCAAGTACCTTGGTGGCCAGTCTAGATCAAGAACACTGTGATCTAGGGATCAAAGTATTATTATGTTCCAGCTGGGCCCGACCACCTATCTGGGATCCATTACCCTTCCCTTCCCTGTTGGAGAAGTGGCATCTTCCCTGACCCCGTCCTCTCACCTCTGACTCCAGCTCAAATCCACAACCTGCTCTCTCCCTCCATCATGTCGTAGTATTCAAAGTTCCCCTCACCCTGTAAAGCTTGACCTCGCTTATCATTTCCCCATTTTCACTTTTCTTGACTTTCACACTTTAAATCTTAATTCTCAAGCAAATATACATCCACGAGGTCAAACTCTCACACACACACATGTGCATCCACATATAATTCTCACCAAGTCAAGTTTCCCATATCTTGGCCTTCCACTCCACAAACACAGCCCACACAGCCTGAGCCCCAGCCCAAGCCCCAGCCCTGTGTCTTCTGGGAGGCCATACCTCTATGACATTCATGTCAGCATTCTCTACTTTTGGTCCCTCAGACAGAGCCAGAGTTTTAGCCTGAGAAGGAAATGAAGAAAGAAGACAAACAAAAAGCAGTTGATTTTCTGCTCTTAGCTCAGGAACATACAGAAAACATGAGGACACAACAACAAGGAGCAATACTGACTTGGCGCCTATAACTCAGTGGTTAGGGCACTAGCCACATACACTGGGGCTGGCAGGTTTGAACCTGGCCCAGGCCTGACAAACAACAAAGACAACTACAACAAAAAAACAGCGTTCTGGCGGGTGCCTGCAGACTCAGGTACTTGGGAGGCTGAGGCGGGAGTCACTTAAGCCCAGGAGTTAGAGGTTGCTCTGAGCTGTGATGCCACAGCACTCTACCGAGGGTGACATAGTAAGACTCTGAAGAAAGAAAGAAAGAAAGAAAGAAAGAAAGAAAGAAAGAAAGAAAGAAAGAAAGAAAGAAAGAAAGAAAGAAAGAGAAAGGACCAGCAATACCCAGGTCAGGGGTCCTCCTACCTCTGCATGTGCTTCCAGGGTGCTTGGTGCCAAGGGTGGATTCTCTTTCGCTGGAGACTCATCTTTTTCTGTAGTTTTATCATTTCTTTCACCCTGATTCTCCTCCTGCAATCGGTATTAGAGGAAAGGCAAGAGTGAGGACGCTGTTCCCCCATCTCCCTTCAATATCCCTCATATCTCCAGCTTCTAGGGCTTCTCAAGAGTCTTCGGTGGCAAGGGGTCTCCTCTTCCTGAGAGATCCATGGGGATGTCTCTAATAAATCTGCTGTCACTGGTGTCCATGGAACAGTAAGAGAGCTCTTTCTTACTCACCATTGGTCACACACGGGTTGGGTGTAGATGGTTCAAAACCCCTTGGGTCTGTGTTCCTCAGCTATGGCACAGGCAGGAAAGGTAGAAGAGGGACACTGCTGATGTCATAAGGGCAGCTATTACTGAGGCAACATACAGCTTTTAACAGTTGAGCCCCCTCCAAGGAAAAGATGAAAGTCCTGCCTATACTTTTCTGCCAGAAATGGCCAAAGCCCTGACTTCAAAGGCAAGACACCAGAAATATTCACCCATTGATATAAAATGGTATAAAAATAGTCTTTGGTAATAATATTAAATTGAAATAACTTGAATAGTCATCAATAGGGGATTGATTTAATAATTTATAGTCCTTTATACTGTAAAATATTATATAATTTAAAAATGATGATTTTGATCTATATTGTTAATGAGGAAGTCTATTCAAGATGAGTGAAAAACTACAGATCATTATTATGATCCCATTTATATGAACAAAACTACCTAGGAACACAAGCATACACATTATATAATGTGTGTACGTTAATACAAAGTGGGAGAAAGGACCAAACTTTTACCCATGATTTACCTCTGGAGAGAAGAGCTGAAGTGCTGACTCATGTCTACCCATCTACACAGTGCTCAAGGAACCCCATGAACCCCCCAGGACCAGTGTGGGCCCCATTTTAGGCTCAGAGGTGCTCAAGCACTATCCTGCCTGCTCCTCGGGGCCTCCAGGCCTCCAGGCCACAGTTGGATGGATGAGAGTGGCTGCTGCACACATGGATCCTCTCTCTGCCTGATCCTGGCCTCTAAAGACTCACTTGACATAGTGAGGTCCCAGTCTCCTTGGAGTCACAGACCTGGGGTCACTAAGGAGCACATTTGTAGTCACATACAGGGTGAGTATAGGAGAGGCCAGTGTGGAGATGGGAGGATGTAGGGAAGGGGAGGAAGCCATCCGAAGCTGAGGGATATTGGTGTGAAATTCAGAGGGGAGAGGTGGGAAAGACAGAAGTGCACTGAAGGATGTGGGAAGTGGGTATGGTGTGGCAGAGAAGGTGTGGCATGTGTCCGTCTTTGAGAAGGAAATATTGTGCAGGCCTTTTTTGTAGCATTAGTCAGTTTTTTACCTTCCCCTGCTGCCAACACACAGAGTCATCAAAGTCTTGTGCTTCATTATTTAGAAGGATAATCCCCATTTTCTTCACAATCTAAATAGTGGTATCAGCTTACTGAGAGATACGAAAACAGAAACTGAGCACAGTAGCTCACACCTATTGTCCCAGTTACTCAGGAGGCTGAAGAGGGGAGGATTGCTTGAATTCTCAAGTTCAAGTCCAGCCTGGGCAAAAAAAGAAAGAAAAAAAATGCAAAGGGGAGAAATGAGCCAGCCAACCTAAAATTCTATACCCAGAGAAAATACACTTCCAAAATAAAGATGTAAATAAAACAAAAAAAGTCTGCTCTTGCCACTTCTGTTTAACAATATACTAAAGGACCTAGCCTGTGCAATAAACAAAATGCCTTAAAATTTGTATTTAAAGAAATAAAATTATTTATTTATTTAAAGAAATCACATGATTTCATAAAGAATGCACATGATTGTGTGCATAAAAATTTCCCCCAAAGTCCGGGCACGGTGGCTCACACCTGTAATCCTAGCACTCTGGGAGCCCGAGACAGGTGAATTGCTTGAGCTCAGGAGTTTGAGTCCAGACTAAGCAAGAGTGAGACCCCATCTCTAAAAACTAGCCGGGTGTTGTGGCATCGTGGCGTTGTAGAGGGCGCCTGTAGTACCAGCTACTTGGGAGCCTGTGACAAAAGAATCACTTGAGCCCAGGAGTTTCAAATTGCTATGAGCTATATGATGCCATGGCACTCTACCAAGGGCAACAAAGTGAGAGTTCACTCTGTCTCAAAAAAAAAAACCCAAAAAAATCTACCAAAAAGAAAAGAACTACTGGAACTTAAAGAAATTCAGAAAGATAGCCTCAGTGATGGTTGTACATATCTGTGAAATACTAAAAACCATTGAACTATACACACTAAATAGGTGAATTGAATAGTGTGTAAATTATATCTCAAAAAGCCATTTTAAAATTTTAAAGCATCAAAAAATTTTCAAGATGCAAGGGTAATATATAAAACTCAAATGTATTTTCACACATCAATGAACACTTGGGAAATTTTTGACATAGAAGCACAAGGTGAAAGGCTTACATTATCTCATTTCAAGGCTCACTATAAAGTTACAGTAATTAAGACAGTGTGCTGGCTTGGGGCCTGTAGCTCAGCAGCTAGAGTGCCAACCACATACTGGAGCTGGTGGGTTTGAACCTATCCCAAGCCTGCCAAAAAATAGCCAGGTGTCGTGGCGGGCCCCTGTAGTCCAAATACTTGGGAGGCTGAGATAAAAGAATCGCTTAAGCCCAAGAGTTGGAGGTTGCTGTGAGCTGTGATGCCACAACCTTCTACCAGGCATCATAGTGAAATTCTGTCTCAAAAAAAAAAAAAGGTGTGCTATAAAGAGAGATAAAAAGATCAATGAAACAAAATAGAAAAGCCAGAAAAAGACTTATGCCATGCCTGTAATCCTAGCACTTTGGGAGGTCAGGTGGATGGACTAGTCCAGGAATTCAGGATTAGTCTGAGCAATATAACAAGGCCACCTCTCTACAAAAAATAAAAAAAAATTTAAAAATCAACTAGGCATAGTGGAGTGCACTTGTAGTCCCAGCTACTCAGGAGCCTGAGGTAGAAGGATCACTTGAGCCCAATAGTTTGAGGTTGCAGTGAGCAATGACAATCCTGCTGCATCCTAGCCTAGGTGACAGAGCAAGATCCTATCTCAAAAAATAAAGTAAAATACTATTGAGTCCATACTAGCAAGATTAAATGCACTATAGACAATCTTTCCTAATGATTACAACTAAAAATTCTGAACAAAATACACCAAGTATGCTCTTAGACCATGATGGAATTAAACTAGAAATCAATGATAGAAAGATAGGTTAAAAAAAAAAAAAACCTCCAAATATTTGTAAATTAAACAACACACTTCTAAATAATCCATGACTCAAAGAACTCTTGAGAGAAATTTTTAAATATTTTAAACAAATGAAAAATAAAATACAGCTTAAATTGTGTGGAATACAGTGAAAGTAGTGATTAAAGGAAGAATTATAGCATTTTTATAGCATATAGTAGAAAAGAAGAAATTTGTAAAATAAAAAACAAGACTTGATGCCAAGATTGATTCTAAATTAGGTCATGTGGTTATGGGTAATGATGCAGTCTCACTCTATCAGCAAGTGATTAAAAAGACCAAAAGCCTTTCTTTTAGAAGCCAGATGTTGGCCATGAATATTGAGAAGAAGCTTAATTAGAATAGTAGGTCAGAGGCTCCTAACGGGGCAACTCAAGACTCTGGCTTCTATTGAAGAACTATAAAGAAAAGATGAAAAAATTCTATAAAAGAAAATGAATAATAAAAACATTATATAATATTATATTATAAGGGATGAAATACACTTTAGAAACAATTAAATACTGAATACAAATTTGGAGAATTTGAATAAAATTGTCTATGATTCATTAAAAACAAAAAAGGGCAGCGCCTGTGGCTCAAAAGGGTAGGGAGCAGGTCCCATATGCCAGAGGTGGCGGGTTTTTTAGCCCTGGCCAAAAAGCGCAAAAAAAAAAAAAAAAACAAAATCCCCACTTTTGAAATTAGGGAAATGTGAGCAATTTAAGACTAAAGCAAGCAGAACAGAAGAAATTATAGATAAAATGGATAAATTTACTGAAAGTTACAAAGAATCAAAACTCACCCAAGAAGAAATAGATATCTGAGCAGCCATATGTCTATTAAAGAAATTGACTTTGATATTAAAAACTTTCCAATAAAGAAAATTCCAGAGTTGGGCACAGTGGTGCATGCCTGTAATCCTAGCTACTTGCGAAGTTGAACACAGGGGTCACTTGAACCCAGGAGTTCAAGACCAGCCTAGACAACATAGCCAGACCTTGTCTAAAAACATAATAATAAAACTTTTTAAACAAAATAATTTTTTAAGAAAATTTCAGGCAAAGATGATTTCACTGGGCTATTCTTACAAACATTAAGGAAGAAATAGCACCAATTCTACACAAACACTTCTATAGAATATAAGTGACTAGAATAGACTAGAAAGGAACTATCCCCAAATGGTTTTAGAGGTTAGAATTATCCTGATGCCAAAACCAGACAAAAACATTATAAGAAAATAAAACTCCAGACTACATTCCTCATGAACATAGAAACCAACCAACCAACCAACCAACAACAACAACAAAAAAAATCAACAAACTATTAACCAATCAAATCTAGCCATATAAAAGAATAATATACCATGATTAATGGGGATTATCCCAGGAGTGTAAGGATGGTTTGACACTGAAAAAAAAAAGTCAATCAATATAATCCATTGTATTAAAAGATTAAAGGAAAAACACACGATTATATTAACTGATTCAGAGAAAGAATTGGACAAAATTCAACATCAATACATGACAAAAATTCATGTATTGAGTTAAGACTAAAGACTTAACTCAATACATGAGTTTAATTCCTAGCAAACTAGGAATTAAAAAGTGCTTCCTTAACATTCTAAAAGACTTCTACAAAGAACTAACGGATTAATTTTTTTAATTTTTTTCCATTTTTTTTTCTTTTTTCTTTTCTTTTTTTTTTTTTAGAGACAGAGTCTCACTTTTTGCCCTCAGTAGAGCACCATGGCATCACACAGCTCACAGCAACCTCCAACTCCCGGGCCTGGGCGATTCTCTTGCCTCAGCCTCCCAAGTAGCTGGGACTACAGGTGCCCGACACAACGCCCAGCTATTTTTTTGTTGCAGTTTGGCTGGGGCCAGGTTTGAACCCGCCACCCTCAGTACATGGGGCTGACACCCCACCCACTGAGCCACAGGCACCGCCCTATAATTCTTTTTTTTTTAAACATAGTCTCACACTGTTGCCCAAGCTACAGTCCCATGATGTCAGCCTAACTCACAGAAACCTCAAACTCCTGGCTTCAAGCAATCCTCCAGCCTCAGCCTCAGCCTCATCCTGCCCAGCTAATTTGTTTCTATTTTTAGGAAGACATGGTCTTACTCTCGCTCAGGATGGTCTTGAACTCCTGAGCTCAAGCTATCCACCTGCCTTAGCCTCCCTGAGTGCTAGGATTACAGGTGTAAGCCACTATATCTGGCCAGATTAAATGATTCTTTTTTTTTTTTTTGAGACAGAGCCTCAAGCTGTCCTCCTGGGTAGAGTGCCAGAGCTCACAGCAACCTCCAACTCCTGGGCTCAAGTGAGTCTTCTGCCTCAGCCTCCCAAGTAGCTGGGACCACAGGCACCCACCACAACGCCTGGCTATTTTTTGGTTGCAGCCATCATTGTTGTTTGGCGGGCCTGGGCTGGATTCGAACCTGCCACTTTGGGTGTACATGGCTGGCACCTTAGCCACTTGAGCCACGGGCACCAAGCCAGATTAAATGATTCTTAATGAATCATTTAGTGAAAACATTTAGTGAAAAACTAAATGTTCGTCCTTCCAAAAGGGAAAAAGACAATAAGTCCACTCTCAC